ATCTATCTATCTATCTCAGATTTCAATATATTGGCATCCTGAATTGATTTAATGTTCCGTGAATGAAGCTGAAGTTAGAAAAACAATCTTTATGAATTTTCAAATCACGCACACTTTGACAGCTTCCTGCGATTCTAGTGCTTCGTAACAGAAAATATGATAAAGGTGATGAAAACATTATTTTCAGGATTTCAGATTTGATTTGTTTTAAAGCTGCCCACCTATATGCTGTTTCTGGAGAAAGTATACAGTATTTGATTCCAATGTCCTTATTTCTATGAAAAAAAAAAAAAACCACGGAAGGAAAAAATGGGGCATGAAATTGCATCCACTCAAAACTCTTAAAAAATAAACCCTCGTGTTTGCAAAAAATCATGCTAGGTTTTAATATGGGGCAAACAACCTCTGTCCACGTTCAGTTTTCCAGCATCTCAGGCTTAGCAAATAAAGCATTGCAGAATTCCTTAAGGGAGAGAAGCAAATTTTGAGGGTTTTGAAGAGGTCTGATTCAAGATGGTTTGGATTTTTTAAAAAAACGATTCCCTCCTCTGAGGGACTGAACATGACTAAAAAAAATATGGCATGTTCCTCTCTGCAGGAAAGTCGCCTTGCTTGGTGTATACTCCTATACTCCTACTTGATTTTTTCCCCTTTCCCTGGGTGCTATTCTTTATTATTGCATATCCCCTCATTCCTTGCCCAAACACTCTTTGGGAATAGTTTTGAGCTGGGAAAAAAATCCTTGTCATGAGTCTTTCTCAACTCCACGTCAGGTAATCTTCTGTTTTACATGTAGATTCAAGTTGCTTTTTTTTTTTTTTTTTAAATCTCCACAGAAAACTTTTTCAATATCCTCGTATTGAATTATGTACATGAAGTGATTGTGAAGGCTGTAGAAACGTACCCTGGAAATGAGAAGCTACAGGCAGCTGGCATTAGTTGTTTGGCTCTCCTCAGTAAGTAACTAAATGAAAGAAAATTAAGTTCCCCAGATGAATTTGGCCTCAGGCCGTTGGTTTTTTTTATATATATGAACCCACAGATGAATCTAGACATCCTTCGCTAAAAGGGAAACTGTTAAACTTCCTCTTTCTACAAGCCACCAAATATTGGCTTGTAACTTTTTCAGTTCCCATTAGGCTGGGAAGTCTTTGATTTGTATTTTCAACCCATGTAGCTGACAGTCTTTATATTTATACATATATACATATGTACACATATACTCATATATACATATATACATATCACCATTATGTACAGGTAGTCATCAACTTACCACCACAATTGAACCCAGAATTTATGTTGCTAAGCGAGACAGTTGCTAAGGGAGTTTTGCCCCATTTTACGACCTGTCTCACCACAGTTGTTAAGTGAATCACTGCAGTTGTTAAGTTAGTAACACGGTTAAGTCAATGTGGTTTCCCCCTTAACCTTGCTTGTTTGAAGCAAAAGGGGATCACGTGACCCCGGGCCACTGCAAACCGTCACAAGTACGTGTCAGTTGCCAAGCGTCTGAATTTTGATCACATGACCAAGGGCAGGGGTAGGCAACCTTGGCTCTCTTATGACTCGTGGACTTCAACTCCCAGAATTCCTCAGCCAGAATGGCTCAGCTTGGAAACCTCTCCCTTTCCCCCTCAGCGGTGGCTGGCTGAGGAATTCTGGGAGTCGAAGTCCACGAGTCATAAAAGGGCCAAGGTTGCCTACCCCTGACCAAGGGGATGCTGCAACAGTCCTAAATGTGACAAACGGTCGTATGTCGCTTTTTTCAGTGCCGTTGTAACTTTGAACGGTCACTAAATGAACTGTTTTCAGTTGAGAACTACCAGTATTTGTTTAAGTTCATGATAACTGAGCAGCAAAAACTGGAACCTGTCCTAGTTACGTAGCCGGGATAGTGTTGAGTAGGTTTTTCATTCTGACTGATAATAAAACAGAAGGTTGACGGTTGGAATGCAAGCTCTTAAATTAATAGCCTTGTAACCAAGGCATCAAATGCAACTGCAATTTAATTATCCAACGTCCAGTTACCCTAAGGCAGTGGTGGGATTCAGCCCGTTTGCACCAGTTCGGCAGAACCGGAAGCTAATTTTTTGTTGCCCGGGCCCAGAATGGACTTCCGGAAGCGGCATCCATACAGATGTTCACCTATTTGGATCCCACCACTGCCCTAAGGGAATTTCACTTGAAGAAAAATCAATGTAGAATTTTAAGATTAACAAGTCAAATTGTTAAAATGCTTTTTGGTCTTTTTTTTTTTTTTTTTGGCTGATGGTGAGTAATTTGGTTCAAAAACAAATGGAGTCGTTGTTGCTCATTTGTGTGGGTGTGGGTCTCTACATATGTTGTACATAGTATGTTTAGGTGTGTGTCGTGTATGTGTTTCACTTTGAGAGCGGGCAACTAAATTTCATTTTTGATGTTTTGCCGTTGTGCCCACAGTAAAAAAAATGACAATAAAGGTTATCTTATCTTATCTGTGCTGTGAAAATAGATGTTTACGTTCTCAGACTTCAATAAATGATCCCTTTTCTCCCAAGCGGAAACCATCTTTTTAAACAGAGATTTGGAAGACAAAAAGGAAGAAGAGGAAGAAGAAGAAAATAAATTCTGTTGGCTGGAGGCCTGCTATAAAGCATTAAAATGTCACAGAAGAAATAGAGACGTACAGGTATAACCCTAAAAGCATGGGACTAAGGGCATTAAATATGACTTAAATTTTGTCTAGGGCAGGGGTAGGCAACCTTGGCTCTTTTATGACTCGTGGACTTCAATTCCCAGAATTCCTGAGCCAGCCACGCTGAGGGGAAAGGGAGAGGTTTCCAAGCTGAGCCATGCTGGCTGAGGAATTTTGGGAGTTGAAGTCCACGAGTCATGAGGGGGGGCATAGTTCCCCCATGCTAGCTCAGGAATTCTGGGAGTTGAAGTCCACAAGCCATAAAAGAGCCAAGGTTGCCTACTCCTGGTCTGGGGGGGGGAAGCTGCCAACGCTTATTTAATTTATGTCCTTAAATACCGAATATACCTACTTGAACTGAAAAGGGATATTGATTTCTGTGCAGAAGCAGCCTAGATCCTCGCTGCAGCAAGGAATTTTGTTTTTGCTCTTAAGTTTTAAAATTAGGTCCTTGACTTACTACCACAGTTGAGCCCCCAAATTCCATTGCTAAGCGAGACAGTTGGTAATTGAGTTTTGCCCCATATTATGACCTTGCTGGCCACAGTTGTTAACAGGGTCACTGCGGTTGTTAAATGAGTAACAAGGTTGTTAAGTGAATCTGGCTTCCCCCATCTGACTTTGCTTGTCAGAAGGTCGTAAAAGAAGGGAATCATGTGATCCCCCGGGACGCAGCGACCGTCATAAAGATGAGTCAGTTGCCAAGCGTCCAAATTTTGATCAGGTGACTACAGGGATGCTGCAACAGTTGTGTGAAAAACAGTCATCAGTCACATTTTTGGTGCCGTTGTAACTTTGAGCAGTCATTAAACAAATAGCAATAGCACTTAGACTTACATACCGCTTCATAGTACTTTACAGCCCTCTCTAAGCGGTTTATAGAGTCAGCCTTTTGCCCCCAACAATCTGGGTCCTCATTTTACCGACCTCGGAACGACGGAAGGCTGAGTCAACCTTGAGCCAGTCAGGATCGAACTCCTGGCAGTGAGCAGAGTTAGCCTGCAATACTGCGTCCTAACCACTGCGCCACCACAGCTTAGATAGCAATAGCACTTAGATGTATATTCCACTTTACAGTGCTTTACAGCCCTCTCCAAGTGGTTTATAGAGTCAGCCTATTGCCCCCCAACAATCTGGGTCCCCATTTTACCGACCTCGGAAGGACGGAAGGCTGAGTCAACCTTGAACCAGTGAGGATCGAACTCCTGGCAGTGGGCAGAGTTAGCCTGCAATACTGCCTTCTAACCACTGCGCCACCACCGTTGTAAGTCAAGGACCATCTGGATTAATGACATATTTCTGAGAGTCCAGAATCTTTTCATCTCTGTACGTGATTAACATTAAAATGGTGTTGGGTTGTTGTTGTTTTTTTTTAAAAAATTGTATAGTTTTGAACCTTTTCTATTTAGCATGAGTCATGCTCGCGCTTCTTATTAGTCTGCTCTGAAATTAGAAGTGCGGTGCCAAATAATGACTTATATTCTGTTATTCTGTATTCTTTAGGAAGCTGCTTGTTGGGCATTGAACAATCTGCTTATGTATCAGCCTACTCTTAATGAGAAGATTGGGGACGAAGAAGGAAAGTTAGTGCAATCTTTTGCAATCGCTTTCTCAGCTGCACCTAGTTTTTGTTTACATTTCTCTTTCACGTGTTTCACTTAAGATGAACGGTCTTTTTATTTTATTTTATTTTATTCAAATACAAATAATACAAACACAACACATGTAAATCTAAATAAAAAACAGTGTTAAAAATACAAATGCTACAGTGCACCCACACCCCTGGAGGCCATTTTTATTACCTGTATTTCTTCTCATATAACAACTAACAATATACAATATATTTCAATTGTGCCTTTATCCCCCCCTATTCTTGAGCAGGTTTATTCCCTTTGCCTTCCACCAAGACTGTTTTTATAAAATCATCCCATATTTCATTATAATGATTTACTTTAATCATCCCTTTTTTAAATTTAATTTCTGTTGTTCATTTATCATTTATCATTTATTATGAACGATCTTGCTAGGAGAGAAAAGCACGTTCCCTTTTGCTTCCTGGATCACATTTTTGAGGTGGGATCCTTCATATGAATACTGGGGAAAACACAGAAAACCCGCTTTTATACCTCAGATTGCCCGATCCGTAGATCTTTAAAACAATACAAGTACGGGCAATTCCCAACTTAGGACGACAACCGAGCCCCAAAATTGACAGTGGTTCAGGGGAATTTGCCCCACTTTATGACCTTTCTTGCCATGGTTGTTAAGTGGATCGCTGCCGTTGTTCAATTAGCGACACTGTTGTGAAGCGAATCGGGCTTCCCCATTGACTTTGCTTGTCAGAAGGTCGCCCAAGGGGATCACGGGACCCCAGGACACAGGTACCGTCATAGGTATTAGTTACCAAGCCTTGGAATTTTGTTCACGTGATCACGGGAATGCTGCAACGGTCGTAAGTCTGAAAAATAGGCGATAGGTCGCTTTTTTCAGTGCTGCTGTAACTCTGAAGAGTCACTAAACGAACCGTTGTAAAACAAAGACGACCTGTAGAGATTCTTAACATTGAAGGGCATTCTAGATTTTGCAATTTGAGAAAATCATTTTTTTCCCCCTTAACCCAGCGCCTTTCCACGATCAGATCTGAAAGGGAGAAGATTCCTAATCCTTCATTCTTTCCTCCAACCAACGATAAAATAAATCCCAAATTTGGTAGTAGTCAGTATCTTCTTTATCTTTCAGTCTCATAGTTAATCTGTCCATCTCTGCACATTCCAATATTTTCCTGATTATTTCTTCTTCTGATGGCAATCCTTCATTCTTCCAGTATTGTGCGAAGATTATTCTCGCTGATGTAGTAATGTGTAAAATTAAATATAGACTCTGCTTATTAATCTTTTCAGGCATTATACCTGGTAAAAAAAGTTCAGGCTTAAAATCAACATGTTCACCTAATATGTTTTCTAACCACGTATGTATCTTTCTCCAGTAAGCCTTAGCTTTGCCACATGTCCACCAAATGTGGTAATACGTGCCTATATTATGTTTACATTTCCAGCATCTATCCGACATATTTTTAAACATTTTTGCTAATCTTGCTGGTGGCAAGTGCCATCCATAAAACATTTTATACAAGTTTTTTTATATTCGCTTTTATTCCCGATCGAATAACTTAAAAATAAAACACGACGCTACGATGTTTCCATTGAAATCGCTCTGTCCTTCTCTTTGGATTAGGTACCCAGCGCACAGAGAAATGATGCTGGCTATGTTGATGTATTCTTCTTCCAAGGAAGTGTTCCAGGCGGCTGCCAATGCCTTAGCTACTCTCGTGAAGCAAAACGGTAAAGAAATTGAACGATGCCTAAGTGGATAAGGATGGCATTGCAAAACCACCCCCTTAATACTGGAGTTTGCCCTAGGCCCAAATGCTCAGGAGGGGAATTAGCCTAGAGCAGGGGTAGGCAACCTTGGCTCTTTTATGACTCATGGACTTCAACTCCCAGAATTCCTGAGCCAGCCATGCTGAGGGGAAAGGGAGAGGTTTCCAAGCTGAGCCATGCTGGCTCAGGAATTCTGGGAGTTGAAGTCCACGAACCATAAGAGAGCCAAGGTTGCCTACCCCTGCCCTTGGTCATGTGATCAAAATTCAGACGCTTGGCAACTGACACGTACTTGTGACGGTTTGCAGTGGCCCGGGGTCACGTGAAATTTCCTGACAAGTGATTTTAATCAGTGGAACGACTTGCCTCCAGAAGTTGTGGGTGCTCCATAGCTGGAGGTTTTTAAGAAGAGCCTGGACAGCCACTTGTCCGGAATGATATAGGGCAGGGGTCTTCAAACTTGGCCCTTTTATGACTTCTGGACTTCAACTCCCAGAATTCCTCAGCCACCATGGCTCAGCTTGGAAACCTCTCCCTTTCCCCTCAGCGTGCCTGGCTCAGAAATTCTGGGAGTTGAAGTCCACTAGTCATGAAAGGGCCATAGTTCCCCCGTGCTGGCTCAGGAATTCTGGGAGTTGAAGTCCACTAGTCATGAAGGGGGCCACAGTTCCCCCGTGCTGGCTCAGGAATTCTGGGAGTTGAAGTCCACTAGTCATGAAGGGGGCCATAGTTCCCCCATGCTGACTTTCATTTAGTGAGCTTGTAAAACGTAATAAAATTAAAGTCATGGTGCAAAGAGTTGACTGGTTGTCCAGAAAGCGATGTAAAACAGTATTATTAAGTCAACAAGGCTACCGTTATAAAGAAATTAGAAGAAAAATGGGTGGAAACTTAACCAAAGGTGGCATTTCTACTGTACACTTTTCCCAAAAGGTTTCCACAATTTTGGCCACTACTGTATATGAAAGATCCTAGGAAGAACCCAACTTACTGTAACGAATAATCTAATACCCAGAATTCTCAGCATATAGTAATAGCAATATATACTTTCTTTAATTTTTTTTGTGTCTTACTATAGCAAATGTTAGAAGAATTCTCTTGGAGAAAGGTATACACATCAACGTGCTGGAGATCATGCAGAAATATTCCAATTCTCCCGAAATTGCAGAAGGTGCTTGCCGATTGCTAAACCATGCTTTCGAAGGAAGGTAACTAAACCTAAACGCTGAACAACTAGTTACTAGTAGATCCCAAATCAGCACTCCTCTGGGTTGATTCTGACCTGACTTCGTGCTTCTTCAGGGATCGTTTCCACGTTCCTAAAATTAAGCCCTCTCTAAGTACTTGGTTGGGGGTACACCAGAGTTTTAGGTTAGGCACTGGAAAATTGTAAAAAAAAAAAAAATCCCAGAAGGGAAAAATTGGAAATATTTTGTGCAGTTGTCAAGAAGAACTACACGTGTGCCCATGAAGTTGCCAAGGGTTGATCTTTAGGGAAACTTAACCTTTAAATAGATGATGATGATGATGATGATGATGATGATGATGATGATGATGATATGATGATGATAATGATAATGATAATGATAATGATAATGATGATTGATGATGATGATTATAATGTTGGAAGGGACCTTGGAGGTCATCTAGTCCAACCCCCTGCTCAGGCAGGAAACCCTACAGCATTTCAGACAAATGGCCGTCCAGTCTCTTCTTAAAAACTTCCAGTGTTGGAGCATTCACCGCTTCTGGAGGCAGGTTGTTCCATGGGTTAATTGTTTCTAACAGTCAGGAAGTTTCTCCTTAGTTCCAGGTTGCTTCTCTCCTTGATTAGTTTCCATCCGTTGCTTCTTCTCCTGCCTTCAGAGGCTTTGGAGAATAGCTTGACTCCCTCTTCTTTGGGGCAGCCCCTGAGATATTGGAACACTGCTATCATGTCCCCCCTCGTCCTTCTCTTAATTGTCCTAACTGTCAGGAAATTTCTCCTTCGTTCTAGATTTCTTCTGTCTTTGTTCAGTTTCATCCACAGCTGTGCATATACAGTCTCCCCTTTTCGAATGCAGAGAGGTCTGTCAAATATATAATCGAACAAACAAACAAAAAGCATGCTGACTTTATGTTTGAGGGAGCATGTGTAGGAGAAGAAGGCGTGGACGCCGGGGGTGGAGTCAAGAAAGGAATCAGCCTGAAATCATTACGTTCCCACAAGTGGTCCAGATCAGCCACCCTTGAATTCTTTGCACTAGAAGACCTCCAAGGTCCCTTCCAGCTATGATTCTATGTTCTAATAAACAAAGAGGTTACCAAGGAGTTGAAATATTTTCATATTTCCATGATTTATTTTCTAGTTTCTTACAATTGGATATCATGCTCGCCGCTGCATCTGGAAGTATGCAGACCATGAAGAAACATAAATCTTTGCCATCCGTCCAGTTGGAAGCCCTTAAAGTGATTTTACGTTGCATGGCTCCAGGTGAGAGACTTTACAGAAGACAGTAGCACCAACTAAGCCAAAATCTACAAATAAAGAGTCTTGTTTATGTTATTGTTCTTTTTTTATTTTTATTTTATTTTTATTTTAATAAAAATTAAAATCGTCATTCCACAAACCCTACTCCCTTCTAGCACTGATGATGTTACCTAGTTGGGTAATAAAACGTCTGCAAGGAAACAACCAAGCTCAGCAAGCACCAGGGACCACCACAATTCTGAGTTTCACTTTACTCTCAGCTATTGTATACTGGATATGTGTTCATGTGCATGTGTGTATAAAAACTCAGATTGAAAATCACACACCCCAAGATGTAATTCCTGTGTGGATTTCTTGGAAATAAGCCCCACTGTTTCCTTGGAATCACTTCGAATAATGTTTATAGAAGGGAAGCCATAGGACCAGTCATCTGAACGCATAACAGCGGGACATTTATAATTAAGCACGGTTAAGATCAAAATTCTCATCTGTTTCTATCATTAAAAAGTTGTTTGCAATCATCAAGCAAACAAATACGTAGTTTTCCCAGCACGGAACAAGTTTTGATAAAACTCAGTGATGGTAATTTATTTGCAATAATGATTTCTTTCTACCTTGCATTTTTAGCATGATAGCATCTTAAAATAAATTTATCTATTCCTTCTTTCTGTTTTAGTCGGCACTTACCATAATTCTTCTCATTATTGAATCACTGGATAGTTTTTTTTTAAAAAAAAACAACACTTCAGGATTGAAATATAATGGTTCAGTTTGCTTTTTTCTAGACTTATTTCATAAATCTATTTATATACACAAAAAGATTGCCTGGCCACTTTCTTTGAGCTGCCTCACCACAAAACATGGGTTAGGAATCGGTTTAATAGATTCTTCATAATTAAGAATTCACTCGAAAGAGATCTTTATATTCATACTGCATCAGATTTTGAACTATGAAACTGTCTTTCTCTTTGTGTATGGGGATGTGTATACACGTATCTTTGATGTATTTTAATTACAATAATGCTTTTACAAATTCTTTCTCTGTGTTGCAGGTGTACTAAACAACCAGCAGCACATTGGTTCAGAAAACCCCAACCTGCAATCAGAGTTAACACGTATGAAAAATCATTTTTTCTTAGAAGATGGCCATTCTCTTGTCCTTGGTGCTCTGAACACGGTACAGTTGATTTCTTTTACGTCTGTTTTATCGTAGTCGCCATACGTATTAATAGGTTACTCTTTTCAATTCTACAAGCTAGTTATAAGAGCTAAATAAGGACTGAGTTGCAAAGTCTAACTCGACGAAATGCCTAATCCTGATTTTCTCTTCATTTTGCCCAAGTAGAAAAATTTTTTACTCCTGTTTTAAAGTGTCTAAAATTGGTCTCTTTTATTTATTTTTTTAATCAAATTTTGGAAGGAAAAAAAACCCCATCTCCCTCACAGAAGGACTCTGGGTAGCGTATAAATAAAATATTTTAAAAAAAACATTTTAAAAAATGCGTAAAATTTAAAAAGAGGTGAGGATAATTAAAATTCAACATTAAAAGTTAATTGATCGGTGGGAGGGAGGGTTTTAAGGGTGCTAAGCAGCCCCAGAGTGGGGCCAGAAGAGTGGGGGGGGGCACCTCACCCTTGGGATTGAGAATTTTCCACATTTGGAAAATTGTATCCTATACCAGGGGTAGGCAACCTTGGCTCTTTTATGACTCGTGGACTTCAACTCCCAGAATTCCTGAGCCAGCATGGCTCAGCTTGGAAACCTCTCCCTTTCCCCTCAGCGTGGCTGGCTCAGGAATTCTGGGAGTTGAAGTCCACCAGTCATAAAAGAGCCAAGGTTGCCTACCCCTGTGATAGTCCTTGACTCACAACCATTTGTTTAGTGACTGTTCGAAATCACAATGGCACTGAAAAAAGTGACTTATGACCAGTTTTCACACTTACGACCGCTGCAGCATTCCCAGGGTCATGTGATCAAAATTCGGACGCTTTGCAACCGGCTCCTACTTATGACGGTCGCAGTGTCCCGGAGTCACCTTCTGACAAGCAAAGTCAAAGGGGAAGCCAGACTCACTTAACAACCATGATCCTGACTTAACAACTGCAGCGATTCACTTAACAACGATGGCGAGAAAGGTCGTAAAATGGAGCAAAATTCACTTGACAAGTATCTCCCGTAGGAACAGAAATTTGGGGGCTCCATTGTTGAGGACTTCCCGTATTTGCATCGAGGCTCAATAAATTGAAGATTTATATTAGGGGTCTTCAAACATGGCCACTTTAAGACTGATGGACTTCAACTCCCAGAATTCCTCAGCCAGCCCTGGCTGGCTGAGGAATTCTGGGAGTTGAAGTCCACCAGTCTTAAAAGTGGCCAAGTTTGAAGACCCCTGATTTATATCAACAAATCTAAGCATTTGTTTTCTTTGCTTCTAGTTCATTGGCAATCCAGGCATTCAGAGATATGGACTCCAAATACTTTCCTGTATCAAAGAATCTTCCTCTCTATTACAATTGTTATCAAATCTAGGAATGACAGATACTGTGCTCCACACGCTACAGATGTACCCGGATGATCAAGGTGAGCAGAAAATGAATTTATTTTGAATCTGAAAAAGTCCTGTCATCAAATTAACCTTTTGTCCAACTTGGACAATGTGCAGATATGTGAGATAACTCCCGGGATTTTCTGTAAATTGCTATGAGACACGCATGATGGATAGCCGTATTTCAGAAGGTTGATTTATAAAGTTTGCATGCAATGCTTAGCCGTATTTTTAGATTTGTGTGCATGACCCGTTGTTAGTTATTTCCAGCCAAATGTAGAAGATAGAACATAGAATAATCGGGACCTCGGAGGTCTTCTAGCCCAACCCCTGCCCATAACAGGAGATCCTATTGGAAAAAAACACTTTTCAGCTAACTATAACCTGAATGACTGAGAATCCTCATTGACATTAAGTTGAATAAGGAGTTCAGGCTAAGATTCTCGAGAATTTTGATTAAACAAGTCAGCTCCTTACAAATTCACAACTCAGTGCCATATAGGATCAAACCCAGAACTTTGGATTAAATATAATTTTCCTAATATTTCTTTTTTCTGAAGGAAAGCCATAACTTCAACTTCAGCATATTGACCAGTGAGCTTCTGCCTCCAGTAGTGGCCAAAATTGTGGAAACCTTTGGGGGAAAGTGTACAGTAGAAATGCCACCTTTGGTTAAGTTTCCACCCATTTTTCTTCTAATTTCTTTATAACTGTAGCCTTGTTCACTTAATAATACTATTTTACATCGCTTTCTGAGCGACCAGTCAACTCTTTGCACTATGACTTTAATTTTATTACGTTTTACAAGCTCATTAAATGAAAGAACATTCTTGCATTCTTGATTAAATTATCTTTCCATTGATATATACTTTTATGGTACTACTCCCAAAAAAAGTGATATTGTTAACCATCAAACCTCAAAAGTACACTTTTCCCAAAAGGTTTCCACAATTTTGGCCACTACTGCAAATGGAGAAACTTAGAATACTGTCTTATTATATTTCTTTTTGTGCATATAATGTAGGAAATATAGTTTGCTAGAATGATGATTTGTATTAACAATGCAGGATCCAATCTCGGTCGGTCACCGGGACCACAAGTTTAGTCTTCTGAGCTTTTGGACTTGTGCTGAGACCTAAACTTATTGGTAGCTTCACATTGCAGTGAACAAGGACATACATTCAATTTCGAAGCTACTAAGATTGTTGGCTGAGCAGGTACAAAAACAGTCAGGGAAGTGATTGAAGCCTGGGCCCCTTGTCATTGAACAGGAGTGCCGATTTACCACCAGCTTATCAGGTACTTAGGAGCCAAGGAATTAGCAGCACAAGGAAACAATAGCCAACAACTTAATAGCCAGCCATCAACACCCCATACAACAACTAAAAAGCTACATACAACTAGGCCAGTGATGGCGAACCTATGGCACGGGTGCCAGAGGCGGCACTCAGAGCCCTCTCTGTGGGCACGCGCGCCGTCGCCCCAGTCCTAGGCCTTCAGCTGAGTTTTATAAAACCTTTTTGCTTTAGGCCTCTGCCGCCGTGTGCAAAAAAAACAAAAAAAGGTTCAATCAATCAATTTCAATTTCTCGCGGAGAAAAAAAAAGATCTTACAAAGTTGGAATTGATTGATTGAACTTTTTAGTCCCACCCAGTCTGCCATTACCACCGCAGCCACACCCACCCAATGGGCCATGCCCACCCAATGGGCCACACCCATCCAATGGGTCACACCCATCCAATGGGTCACACCCACCCGGCACTCGACCATGCATAAGTGGGTTTTGGGTTGCAGTTTGGGCACTCAGTCTCTAAAAGGTTCGCCATCACTGAATAGGCACTACATAAATACTATGCCTAGAACAACCCAAAACATACATTCTGATAGAGAGAAGTTTCCTTAGGATGGGCTCCACCATGAGTCCGAAAGCTTGGAAGACCAAACCTCTAGTACCAATGACCAACACAGATTGGATCACACAACATTATCTGGGACACATATATTTGCCTTCATTCGTGTATTAACACTATATACACACACATGAACCTATATGTGGATAGCAATTAGCTCAGATGGGAAGTTAAGAAGAAAGAGAACTGTGGTGACATAGTGGTTAGAATGCGGTGGTGGCGCAGTGGTTAAAAGGCAGTATTGCAGGCTAACTCTGCCCACTGCCAGGAGTTCGATCCTGACCAGCTCAAGGCCGACTCAGCCTTCCATCCTTCCAAGGTCGGTGAAATGAAGACTCAGATCGTTGCGGGCAATATGCTGACATTTGTCAACGGCTCAGAGAATACTATAAAGTATGTTGAAGTGAAATGCTATTGCTATTGCTATTTTGTACTTGATCAACATTTCCATGGTAATATTCCCAACTTTCTTTTCTTTCTAGAAATACAAAACCTAGGTTTAAATCTTCTGGGATCCCTGATATCAGGAAAGAGCTTGTGTACAGTTACTTTCTATATCCTGGTATCACCCTTGGTTTCGACATTACGACGCTTTAAGGATGTGGTTGAAATTCAGACTCAGGTACACCCAAACGCAACACGCCTACTAAGGCAGGAAGATTCTTTGAGGAAACTTAAATTCAGATATTTGGGGGTTTTTTTTTCTCCTTTGCGTTGAACCAAATGAATGCGCAGGTAATCCTCAATTTAAGTCCGCGATAGAATCTGCCCAGGAGGAATGTTTTAAGCCTCAAACTCTCCATTCCGGGTGTATTAATGCTACATTTGGGCTGATGCTACATTTTCATTGAATTATAGGGATATCAAATTATTACAACCATACTCGACTCGTCCCCTTGGTTTGCAAAGCTGCTCATCCAGGAATCGTTTGACAGCTGTCTCTTCTATCAACTCTCCACATGCTTTAATGAGCAAAGAGACCAGCAGGTAACTCAATGTTTGCGCTGCACAGATAGTGCCTCAAGTTACAGCAGTTCGTTTAGCGACCGTTCGACGTTACATCACCGGAAAAAAAAGTGACTTTCCCAGAAACTGTTTTTCACAGTTTCGACCGTTGCTGCAGCATTCCCCACGGTCATGGGATCCAAATTTGCCTGCTTGGCTACTGACTCGTATTTATGACGGTCGCAGTGTCCCGGGATCATGTGTTTCTCCTTTTGATCTTATGACAAGCCACGTTAATGGGGAAGCTGGATTCGCTTAACAGTAACACGTTCCTACTTTAACAACTGCAGTGATTCACTCAATAATTGTGGGAAGAAAGGTCGTAAAATGGGGCAAAATTCACTCAACTGTCTCACTTAGCGACAGAAATTTTGGGCTCCATTGTGGTCGTAAAAGGAGGACTACCTGTACACTCTTTTTCTCCTTCTGTCTGTGTCTCAGCCCTTCAATTCATTTATTTTAACAGTCCTGGGAAGACAGTCTTTAATTTATGAAGTGTGTGAGTTAAATCAGGGGTCCCCAATCTCCAGTCCGTGGACCGGTACTAGGCCATGGCACGCCAGCCACCGGTCCGCACAAACAAGCAACTTCCCCATCTGTGAGATGCAGGCAGCACACAAAACCACGCACCCTCCGGTCCACGGAAAAACCCCTCTCCACGGAACCGGTCCCTGGTGCCCCAAAGGTTGGGGGACCTCTTGAGTTAAACCCTCCAGCAAATACGATATCTCAGTTTCAATCCTCTTTCGTCTCCCTTGCAGTTTCAAAGTCTTTGTTGTAAATGCTTTGCGAAAATAACTCAACACGAGGACTTGAAAAACGTGATGTTGGAGAAGGCCTGTGCCGAAGGCAACAGCGTTATGGCCGAATGTTTGCTGCTGCTGGGTGCCGACGTGAACAAAAGCTCGAAGGAGAAGTCTTTAATTTACGAAGTACGTCAGTCAAAACCGCAGGCCAATGTGCTCCGGGGTAAAAATGGCATGGTTTTAGTGCAGGGGTAGTCAACCTTGGC